TGGTGATTGTGGGGGCGGAGGGGAGGGGATATAAGGGGACTAAATGGTAATGGAAAACAAATACAATAAAGATAAAAAATAATAAATAAAAACTTGAGGATTAATATGTGGATTGGGTGCTACTATAGTAAGGCCTGATACATCGCATTTTGCCAGTTTCTCTCCTATAATCCAGCCTAGAGAACACTTTGAATTGTGATTCTGTCACCTATATTGTTGTCTCTCCTTCATAGTGAGGTGTCATTTGAAGATTACATAAATTTGCCTTCGTCCAAGCCATCAATATAAATTTGACTAAAGACAGGAATGGGCCAGTAGGGCTTACTTTTTCATTTTCATGTTTACCATTTGAGTGTTTTTCGTATGTTAATGGGAGATGAGGAAAGTATGACATTGTTTAAAATAACTCAGATGTTTAAAGTTTCAGACCTCTCTCACCAACTCTTCACATATTAGTTGTTTCTATAATGGTAGACCTCAAACAATGATCACTTTCCAAGTTTAGTCAGAGAAAGGGGAAATATTCTCAACATCAATTTCACTTAAGACATGTGTCCCTGCATGTCTCACACCACACATCGTGACACGTGACCCCCTGCATGTAAGTGCATGCTTCATGTTTTTGCAGCTCTTTCCCCGTTTTGTTTGATACCCTCACAGACCTTGTGAGCCAGGCTCCTAGAGAGGCCCACAGAGGGGCCACAGCTACACAGCTGGCAGCGGAGTCTTGACCGAAGCCCACATCTGCTGTCTTCGAGTCCAGGGTTCCTCCCCGCTTTCCCAGAAAAAAGGTGCCCTGAGGTGAAGTGCTCTCCTGTCAGTCCCAGGTCCTCCACATTGCCCCTGAGGTTGCTCCCACTTGTAGTTTTGACACTTAGTGGGAGAGTGTGTGTGCAGAGGCAGGCACTGATGTAACGCTTGGGCTTAGCAACAGATACAAATAAAGCAGGACTTCTGCCTCAGGGGCCAGGTTTTAGGCCATCTCTCCAGAAAGTAAATGCAGCAAGTGTGGCCAGAGCAAACTCCGGAACAGAGGCTGACACACACATAATGTACCTGCACAGGGATTGGCTAAACAGACACAAATGACTTCTTTCTCCTAGAAGGGTAGTAACGATAAAACAACCGCTTTCACCCATTGAAAACATCCCACCCTTTCTTGTGGTGGTTCCATGGAACATCAGCCATAAAAAAATTGCACACATACTCACAGAGGAAAGATTCCATGCACACGTAAGTGTGTCAAATGGGGTATATGTAATGCCCCTCTGAGAAATTCACAAAGAACCGAGATATTATACTAGAGACTCCAAGAGGCCCCACTGTTATCTGCCTTCCTGTTTCACCTCATATTTCTGAAACCTAATTGATAGAATGAAAAAAGGAGACATCTTATACAATACCTAAGAACAACATTGTCCTGCAGAAGGTATTTGGAAGGCTGCGTTATCTCATTTAACCCTCACCACAATTCCGAATGGTAGGCATTACTCTCCACACTTCACAAGTGACTCAAAGAGGTTCAGTGACTTGCCCAACAGACCAGAATTCAGACCCCTGTCTGCCTGAGACCATTTCCCACTCCATGCGGCACTGGACTCCACAGCCAGAAGGCTCCAGGGTCGTTTGAAGGCTGATGTTGTGAAGGATCTTGTGGGCTATTAGGAAAATTGTAGATCCTGAGAAGAGGTTAAGACACAACAAGAAGAGTTGGCTGTGATCGGAGGGGCTGATGAAATACCTAGGCAGGGCAAATGTTTAGGAAAATGACAGGTGAAGGAAAAGGAGACCACTGGAGCTTGTTAGTAGTGGGGAGGAGGAAGACTGAGAGGGAGGAGTTAAGGAAAAATAATAACAACCCCGCACAGTGAGGGTGGCTATCACATGAGCTGCTGTGAGGGTGACATGAAATACTGTGGTCCGCCAATATACCTGCAATGGATGAAAAGGGATGGGACAGGAGGCGCGAAAGAATGACAGCAAGTCAAAGGGTTCTGATCAAGCTGCCAATTTATTTTAAAAATGGGGGGAGTTATATAGAGGAGGATAGAGGAAGGCAGAAAAGGGAAGTAGCTTTGATTGGCGGACCTGGGGCGTGCTCTTAGCTGGGATTGGCCAGGGGGCGCGTGATAGACGCGTGATCAAGGCACGGATTGGTGTGCCGCCCGTGTGCTCAGGCTAGGCACCTGCAATGCTTCTGACCGCAGATATCCTGTTGTGCAAGCGCAATTTCCATCTTTGGTTGCATCAGCCTACTTCAGGCTTATCCCTGCCCCCAACAATGCTCTATACCCACGCTGAGCTCAGCGAAATGACTCCGACTGCACAGGCCCTCCCCACTGCTTAGGCTCCTTGTGGGTGTTTGATGGAAGCAATTTATTGTTTGCCTGTACAGTGTGTTGTTTTCACCTCAGATCCTCTCACACAATCACAAGTGATTGTCCACTTGAAACAATGAATGCAAATCTAAGTCAGAAAGGGCTGTGGGAACGTTTGGGAAAGTAAGAACAGGTGGGGAGAGGCTGTAAAGGTCACGGCCTGACAGCTCTCAAGCCGAGGGCAAGACCAAGCCCAGGTTTAGTTTGGCATACCGATTATCATTTTTTTTAAAACGGAATTTGTTTCCAAAATTCATAAGAAGCCTATTTCACACACGCATACCGATTTCTGGCTTTCCTTTCAAACTACAGCGCTGAAAGCACGGTCCGTTGACTGCAGGACAGCAGCCTCGGGGAGCTAGGGCGGCGGCTTCCTCTGAGCTTGTGACCCCTGTTTCCCCCAGGCCTACCTAATTCCCCCGGAGTTCTGATTCACCTGGACAGGACGTGCGTCTGTGCTCTGTGCCCAAGCTCACAAGTAATATTACGGAGGAGAAATCTACCTCCTCCCCCTCCTCCCCAACAAGCCCTGACTACTTGACATAAGCCTAGTGGGATTCCTACTAGGATTTTCGGTGGGTATCTCTAGAAGTGTTTGATCACCACCGGAAAAGTAAACTGTGGCACCTGGCCTGTTATTTAATGCTTTCATACCCATGCCTCCTCTGTGATTAAAAGATTAAAATACTAGGCTGTAAACCTTACAGATAGAACACCTAGTTTGTTAGAGAAAAATAAAAAACAGCCAAAGATTTTTATGAACACTCCTCTGCAAGTTGAACAAAACATCAGTATCAGCACAGAGTTGTTCTGCTGTGAACATATTCTGTGAACCCCTTCAGTCTGAAGATTTCAGAGTGCCCTGCCATTGTCAAAATCAACGGTAAACTGACGTGAGCCCTGTTTGTTATTTAAATTCCCTAGGAACCACATTAAAGCACAAAGAAGCAGGTGAAATTAATTTCCATAATATATTGTATTTAACCCAACAAATCCCAAATGTCATTTCAGTGTGTAACCAATGTAAAATGAGACATTTTACACTTTTTAACGAACTTTCCAAAGTCCTGTGTGTATTTTACACTATAGCACCTTTCATTTCGAACTAGCTACTTTTCTAGTGCTCAGCCCCACATGTGGCCGGGGTTGCTGTATTGGCCAAAGCAAGTGATTAAATCACTTTTTTCTTCAGGTTAACAAACAAGGGTAGATGGATAACTATCCCACAGAATTCATAGGGACCGAGAAGCTAGACAGAAAACTGACACCCTTCTGATGTATGAACCCTATCCTCTGGGCTCCCTCCTGCCCCCAGGGCGCCTTCTGTGTCCGTGCCCCTGTCTCTCGGTCTCCCTTTCTCACTGCCCAGTTAGAGACACTATTGCAGCAGGAGCACACGGGCTGTAAAGAAGGAAGGAGTGGGCTGGATATCCAGCATGTCCCTTGCAGGCTGATGACCTTGCAAGTTATTCAACCTTCCTGGCCTCAGATTTCTTTTCTATGAAATAGGATTAATTTCTTCTCTGAGTTCTGCAGATCAAATAAAATAATAAAGGTCAACTTGCCAGCACCCAATAGACACTGTAGGAGTTTACAAGCTTTTAGTGATTACTTTTGAAGATTCATATATGTTTGGTGAAAGAAGCAATGGGGGTAAAAGAATCACAGAAGAACATTTTTAAAAATATGTGCTAAACCCCAGGCCACACTCTCTTCCTTCTTCAGTCCTTGGTGCTTATAGCCTCTCTGTGCAACGAGCATGACTTCCTCCTGAAGCACCCTGAGCTGGAGCTATACATGCACACCAAGAACATAAGAATAATGACAGAGAGTTCAGTGTTTGCCTGAGCTTTTCCAGTTACATTAAGACCCAGAAAAACACCTCAGTGACCTCCATGTGAGAGTGCAGCTGATTACTCTGCATAATGTCCGAGGAGCAGGCTTCACACAGTCTGGTGCATGGAAGGATGGCAAGAGTGCCTTCATCTAGAAGACACACATTCCCAGCCCCTGCAGCTCTCCCCACTATAAAACTGTGCTCTGGGGCCTCAAGGAGCCTTACCAGATGGAGACCTCTCCAGGTCCTAAAGCCAACATCACCTCAATAGCCCCTGCCTACAGCCTTGGGGACTTTGAAAAGACTGTAACATCACCAAGCCACCATTACATAAAATGTTAAAGGGACTATTTAAGAAAAAGAAGATCAAAATCATGAACATTATAAAGGCAACAAATTCACAGCTATCAATAACTGAATCTAAAAACAAAAAAAAACCCAAAAACAAAAACGAAGCAAACAACCAGAACAGGAACAGAATCATAGGTATGGAGATCATTTGGAGGGCTATCAGCTGGAAGGGGGAAGGGGGAGAATGGGAGGAAAGGCACAAAGATTAAGAAGCATAACCAGTAGGAACAAAATAGACAGGGGGAGGTTAAGAACAGTATAGGAAAGGGAAAAGCCAAAGAACTTACACACACGACCCATGGACATGAACCAAGGGGGGAATTGCTGAAGGGAAGGGGTGTACCAAGTGGAGGAGGTGGGTGCGGTAGAAGTTAAGACAACAGTAATAGCATAATCAATAAAATATACTTTTAAAAAAAGCAGGAAAGACTCACCAGTTCATTCTCCTCTCCTTGGTTGAGCAAAGCCCGATGGTCCTTATTTTTCTCCTCCATCTAAACAGGACCACCTGGCCAATACCCTGGGGAAATGTCAAACACACTGAAGCTTATGGAAACCCTGTACAGTCACTGCTTGTCATTGCTTTTCTCAGGTGATTAAGATCTCTCAGCACACACCTCATCTATCACGCTAACAAAGGAAAGAGAAGAAATACCGGTACTCCTCAACCACAGGATTAGTCTGTAGGGAACCACTTCGAGGCTCAGCCTCCACGTGGAACACCAGTGGGTAGCCAGTGGCATGCAGGACCACGCCCACAGGGAGGTTTTCCCATGAGGAATCAAGCCTGCATTGTACCTAGACTGCTGTGAGACTAGCTTTTGCTAAAACTCTTTCACCCTGAATTGCGGCGGCAAGGGCTTACTGCAACTTCCTAAAATCTGAGCTAAACCTCCCAAGTATGGAGTGTGACTGGTTCAACCACTTTCCCCCTGATCTGCAGCATCCTTCTCTTTGAAGTAATTGGCAACATTCTTTCCTTTGCTATCTATAAAAGGTAATCCCCGGCAGTGAACCTGTGCATAGTAACTGAGGACTACCCTCGATGTAAGGTACCCAGAGAAGCAATAAAAGCCTGTCCAAGCAGGGACTGGGGCTGTCTGGCCCTCTTGCCCTCTCTCTCTGACTTAGAGAGCAGCTGTGCCATCCTTTTTTTCCCACAGGATTCCTGTAGTCTGTGTGTATTTGTTCTCCAGCTGCCACAACATACACAGATCCTGTTGGCCAGGATCCGCCACATTAGTCTGTTAATCTATTGGCTTGTTATGTTTTTTTTTCTTCCTAGTACTTACTTGCTGAGCTTGATGTGAGTGTCTCCAGACTTAAGCTGCTAAACTAAATAGATAATGTCCTGTGCTGTCCACAAATGTCTCAGCCAATGAACAGAATGACCACTTTGCTAAAAACCTGAGACAACAGGATTAACCAGAGATAGATGAATAAAAACACCATGAAAAAAGGGGGAGGCGGCATCTGGGAGTGATGAGAGAATAGAAGGAAGAGAGGCTGGCTTATCACTGGGAACTCAGGAATCATTTTGGAATCAGAAAACTCTGAATTTGAATCCCTGCTTTACTGATGAGCCTGGACAAGTAACTTAGAATATAAAGTTTAGGTTTCTTTGTAAAATGTCAATAATAACTATAGAGTTGATATGTGGATTTAAGATGATATTTATAAAAAAACTAACTATAGCTCTCTTCACATTCAATAAAAGATAATCATCATCATCACCATAATTATAACACTAATCAAGAAGAGACAATCTTTTAAATAGTAAACTATAATAATGATGATTTGATTTCTTTCACTGTCCCTTATTAGTTTACAAAAGTTTTCAATATGTAAAACATATGGAGAGAGGAGGAGCTAAGAAGGCTGAATATTGGGGATGTTATCTAAATTTCCACAACCTTATAATCACACCTCTCTGTCTTAGCCATTCCCTTAAAGAATGAAAAATGTACCTATTGTGTTTACGGGCAGCAGGGAGGCAGGGGCAGGAGGGAGAAGGGGATAGAAGGGGTTCTTATGGGAGAAGTAGCCTCAGAGTCTGTGGGAGTGGCTTCCTCCAAGCTGTGAACTCACTAAGGGCAGGATTAGTGTCTGGTTTATGCCTCCCTTTAGTCCTAACCCTGGCCTCCTCATTAGTGGCCTAAAGAACTGATGATCCCTCAGAAGCCAAGTCTTTGAACTTTAAAGAGCCTCCCATTCAGAATGAAACCAAAGGAAATGATCGAGGGTATCTCATCTCCCTACACGATCTGACTCAAAACATAATTTCCAGAAAACAAAAACCACAGAGATGAAAAAGAAGTTTGTTCAAAGCTACACAACAAAATAATGGCAGATGCAGGACTCAGAGCCAGGCCTCTTGTCTGTAGTCCAGTTTATTCGCACAGAAAATACAACCTTCTCTCCTGCTATCTTTTCTCTAGAACTCTGCTCTGATTCTAGAGTGGTAAAGGAATGGGGGATTATATGGATCAGGAGAGGTGGGGTGTCTCTACCTCTAATCCATGAGGCTTATAAATGAAGAAGCAAGAGACATGGTGGAGTGTATTAGAACCACAATACACCCTCCTACTTGGCAGGCACATGATTCCCTGTCTTCACCTCCCCAGGACATAAACGAGAAACTGCACCAGATTTGGAGACTTATCTAGATTTCAAAGCTCTCTTGCTATTTTCTTTGCTGACTACCAGAGCCCTATGGAGATTCCCGTTTCGCAAATGTTGTTGAATGTCTACATGGGCAAGACTGTTTAGTTAAGGTAAGCTGACTGCTATAACAACAACAGATAACAATTTTCAGTAGGTTAGCAAAAAAGTGTTGGTCTAAGTTTGTGGTGCTGGGGGGCATTGGTGGGGCAGCAGAAAAGTGTGAGGAAGAGAGTGACAAATACAATGAAGACACTGTGGTCACACTGTTCAGTTATTAAATTCAAGTGGGACACAAGGAAATTATTTTTCTTGTTTTAACTGACTCTGGGAACTTAAAACTTTTGAACTTTCCAGTCCTACATCAATACCCAGGGGCACATTAGTGTGGTATGTGTTAATGCATGGACATACACCAAACATTCTGCTAGTCACCTGAATGACCTCAAAGAAAATGTTCCATTGACTAGACTGGGCATCAGGTGAATATCATTGGACATCTGATGAATTCCACCTTGAACCAATCCAGGGGCTAACACTGCGGAGCTAATTCTTAACAAGAACATACTTTTTGCAATAAAACTCCCAGACTTTTATTTCTCCTTCAGAACACTGGGTATTGCCTAGTTGTATTTCTGGTTTGCAAACTCTAAGACCTTTAAGTACATCTTTGTCATCTATTTCTAGTCAAAGCTTCCTGACTCTCTTTGAATATTTTTGGCAATGGTGAATGGGTGCCTCCTCCAAGCAGTGATTCAGAGGCCCAGGGACATTTCATCTTGTATCTCTACCGTCTTCAACATGTGAGTTCCGAACTGCTGCAATTTTATAAAAAGTGTCTTGCATGTGAATCAGTGAAAATTTCTATGGACCAGTCCTAGAAGAGATACTGTATATTGTGCTAGAATAATGGCTAGAACTCAAACGACCACACCTGGCTGCATGATTGATGGGATATGTGGTTCACCTGTGTGTCAGGAAGAAGAAGAAATGAATTCAGTGGTCATCTGGCAGTCTCTCCCACACAGACCCTACAATGATCTCAGTGAGGAGTAAAGGGATGGGTCAGATTGGATCCTATTCCTTAAGGGACTCAGCATTTGGTAGAAAAGACAAAAACTATGCAGAGGTAACTGCTATACAAGGTGGAAAAGAGAAAGACTTGGGTGATTTCAGACTAAGGAGAAGCACACCTTAGAGGCCTTAATATCATGTGACAGGGTGGGGGATGGACTATGCTATTTGATTGACCATGTGAGCTCTTTGCAACAGCCACAGGGCAGGGAAATACTGGAGTGTCAATAAATGACTAATCCTTGACCTGAAATATGGATTCAAAGATGTGATCAAATTTCTACTCTTTCTAAGCAGAGCCAAACACACCCCTTCTGATCCTAATCACCACTGCACCAAAACAACCCACACTAATTTATTATTAAACTAACTTAGTATGAACTAAAATAATGTTTAGTATAAACTAAGATTTGTACTTATCATACAGAAATATTTCAACTTGCAATGTAAGCTGTTTCATCCTTTTTGGAGAAGAGCCTCGGGATGGGGGAGGAAACTAGACAATTAAATTGGAACCAGGGAATGGAAATCTAAATGGTCTAGCTAAGGAATTAGATTTTGAACAGTTTACAGAAAACATCCCTAGGAGATGTCATAGTAGTTCACCAAACTCTTCAGCTCTCCTGAGTTCAATTCTGCCCACACGTGTGAACTTTTCTAGGCCCTAAAAGGAGAACAACTGTGATGACTGAGTCTAGAACTCTGCCCTTGAGCTCAGCCTACTGGAGCCGTGCTTCAGAATATAAATCTTCTGGGTTCTGTGCTTTCCTCCAGCCAGTCTTCTGACCCATATTACAAAATGGCCTTGACAAGCTTGCCTCTCACCAATGGGGTCAAGGCTGGCTGGTCACAGATATGTAAATTGTTCGTTGCTTAGCTGGATCCACTGAGGTGTCTGCCTTCCGCCTATAGAAACTAGATGGTTCTGAATCTGTTGGCAGAAATTATAAAGTTTGAAAGTGATCGATTGTCAGAACATGCAAACTGGTAATAGAAACAAGGCATCTTAGAGACTTCTGATTAGAGCATGTGAAGCAAAGAGGAAAGAAATATTCTACCTCATCCACTTACAGCTGACTCCTGCCCAAAGATGAAAAGGCTTCCTTTTTCTATTAATGACTCTTCCCTGAGGTTCTCGCTTCTGCTCCTATTCTAGGCGTGGCTGCTTCTCCAGCTGCCCTCTAAAGGGGCAGAGACATAAGTGAAGTAGCGGAGCCAGCTCTTCCACGGCCCTCATGGGAGTCACATCCTGGGCTCTACTTGGTCTTTATTATAAAATTAGCTTTATGCGTTACAGATCATGTAATTTGGTGTGGACCACTGAAGCAATTGTTCTATTATACTTAATTGCTTCTGTTTAGAATTTTTAAAACATGCTCTCCAGTCATCAAATAAGAATTCATTGTCTTACTTTATTATGGAGCCAATTCTATGTCCTAATGCTTTATGTGTCCAAAGCTTGGTGGTCCTCACTGCCCTTTGGGTTTACCAGCTTTGCTTTGGGGACTCTTCCCATAGCTTTTTATACCTAAGTGAAAAATGGTCCTTATCACATTCAAGGGAAAGAACCATTCATCTTCAAATCCAAGCACTTAGCTCAGGGAATGGCAGATAAGGCAGGTGCTCAACAAATACTGTGTAAATGAGTAAGTCACTTTTTCTGCCTAAAGACTCTGCTTCACAATATTCCATCTTTCTGATTAGGTGTGTGTTCATTAGTTTTTCCTTTAGGATTGTCAGTGGCAGAGTGGAAAATAGG